TAATGCACCCAAAGTAGAGAACATCAGCTATTATATCACTTCCTCCTAAACAGTCAATTAAATTGTTGTTTCATGAGAAAATGCATTCCCATTCAGGATGGCAGAAACAGCCTTTCACCTCCCCCAACACCCAGAGTGAGCTGGCCTTGAACAAATAGAGGAAGGCAAAAGGGGAGTCAATGCTGGAAAGACCAGAAATAGCCCTGGCCTGGCAGGGAGGGGTTTACAAGGAGAATGAGATGGACAGAAACGTCTAGAGTCTAAGAATGCTACCCTGAAGTACCTCTCTGCTTTTACATAACATGTTCTGCAAATCTCTAATTCAAATACTTGTCGTAAGTGTTCTAAATTAGGAAATAAAAGGCAGTTGCTTGAAGGGGAACTTGGAAAAGGAAAGAATTTCTGGGTTCTGGGTCATAAATTGAGCTAAGGACATCCTATGTTCACCTACGATGGCCCTCTTGATTTTTGTGCCTCAGTTCCCTGACTGATACAACCACTGATACTAATAAAAATTCCAATTTCAGATTGACAATGACAGTTTAGAGTGGGGAGCAGGGAAGGATACAGGAGAGTAGCTGCTCAAGGCCAGTCTATGTTCTATTCATCTCTATATACTCCAGTCCCCTCGGTACTCAGCACATAATTCACCAACTAATAAATACAATTTAAGGAAAGGTTTTAACTTTTCAGTATAGAATCAAAATGTATGGGCTTTGGAGTCAAACTACTCAGATGCAAATCATTTTTCCTCCCTAGATGCAGGGCCAGGGGCCAGCTGCTGAACCTCCATTGGCTTCAGGTTCTCCCACCTAGAAAAGTGGCCACGGACAGCCCCTCCCTCCTAGGTGCTGTAGGGATGAAATGCTTTTCCATCAGTGAAACACGGAGCGCTGTGCCTGCCATAGGTAGCACTATTATTAGTATCCTCAACATCATTTAGCTAGTTGTCTAGTATTTTGCCCCCAAATTAGTTCCTCAGGGAACCTGGCATACATGAAAGTTGGTTGGTGTAGTGAGTTGAATTGTAACTCCCAGAAGACACATTTACCCAGAAGCTGAGAATTTGAACACATGTGGAAAGAGCGCCCCTGCAGACGTCATCGATTAAGGCAAGATCTTGGAGATGATTCATTCTGGATTAGTATGGGCCCTAAATCCAAAGTCATAGAATAGACAAAAACGAAAAGCCAGAGACCCAGGGAAGAAGGCCATGTGAAAACAGAGCCACAAGCCCAGGAACACCAGGAGCCACAGGAGGGTGCAGGGGTGAGGAAGGGAGGGTTCTTCCCCAGAGGCTTTGGAGGGAGTGTGGCCCTGCTGACCCCTGCACTGTGACTTCTGGCCTCCAGAACTGTTGTGTTAAGACCCCTGGTTTTTGGTAATCTGCAAGAAAATTACCAAGTCAGGGACAGATGACTCTGAACAACCTAGATTTAGTGAGGGAAACAAGCCAAAATGTGAAGTGGTGATTATCACGCGTCTCCTTTTCTTAGATTGTGCATTGCAGGGAAAGTTCTGCTCAGCAAGGTGCAATGGCTGACTTTAGGGACTGCAAAGTTCAGGCCAGCCCATCCCATCCAGTTCCAGCCAAGAGCGTCTGCTGGGAATCTTGAAAATAGCGTGCATCTTCCCACCAAGAACGAAGCGGAAACAGTAATTGTGCCATGAGAACCTGGCTGCAATCTAACACCAAAAAAAATGGGCAGGCCAGGAAGCGCTCAGTGCCCATCCAGGACACATACCCACAGGGTCCACACCGCCTTCCTGCACCCCTCTGTGAAGGTCGGAGGAGTCATTATCCAAGACTCTAAGTGAAGGAAATATACCTAGTTGTTAAGGGTCCCACATGATTGTATATTCTCCTAACTCTACAGGTTCCAGAAATCTATCTATAAAACAGATCTCCTTTTAAATAAAAAATTAAAATGTACACGGGTCATTGCAGGACCCTCCTAAGCCTTTGGAATTTTTAACAGAGTCATGAGAGAGTCGAATCCACTGATGTTCAGAGAAATGGTTTTCATTCTCTTCCTCTCTTCTAACTCCTGGAGAAAACCAGCAGCAGACAGAGCAGCAGCAGTCAGAGAGGGTGACTTTTTTGGAGCAAAGGCGTTAGACAAGATGACACATCCTGACAGGTTCAGCAAATACTGAAGGCTGTGCCAATCAGCAGATCCTTTCTGAGTGTTTGCAACGGAGGAAAGATTGCGAGTCACACAGTATTTCAAAGACAGGTCACGATTACTTCGTGTGTCATCTTCTAATGTGAAGGTCAGGGGAGAGGAGAGGCGGGTGGAGGCGGGAGGGGACGAGCAAGGAGACCCGTGTGCAGGCAAATTAACCAGGCAGGACTTGCTTCCTATTTCCCAGCACTGCCCAGGGAACTGTGTAATTGCTGGCTTTGTTGACATCTGAGGCTCTCACCTCGCAGGTAACCGGCACCTCATTAGCCCCTAAGTCCTTTGTAACTTGTGAAAGTCACTTCTTCCCCATCTCAATCAGGGTTTTCTTTTTTCCCCTTAAGTGATACTCAATTTTTTTTTTTCCGGTAAGAAAAGGGTTGCAGTGAAGAGACCAGTGAGGAAATCCAGAGAAGGAAATCACAGATTCTGGATCCCAGAATATCCCCAAATGGACCCCATTGTTTAACTGAAAAGAATTCTAGAATACTGAAAATACATTCAAAACGAAAAGAAATAATTCTGAAGCCAAATGAAACCAAAAAGATTTCTGTCGTTATTTGTCATTTGTTTTTCTCTACTAGGAAACAAAAAAGAGGAAGAGGGGACAGAGGAGAGAGAGAGAGAGAGAGAGAGAGAGAGAGAGAGAGAGTCCCCCCGCATAAATCATCTGAGAGGCTTTTAAAAATATGTAAATGCTTAATTATCTCCATTCTCCATCAAAGCACTTTTCTGAGGAAGGGATACATTTTTAGCATTCAAAATTAAAATAATACACTCACGCATGCACACTCAATCACACACATATTTGTGCACACACATACTTGGACAATTCACAACCTTCAAAGAGAACCATGCAAATCTAATTGACAGGATAAGTTTTAAGCAAATTACTTGGTGAGCCCAACATGTTTTCCCCTTGTTGGGGTGAGGGGACACTATAAACAGTATGTACAAATATGCTAACTAAAAAAATAAAAATCTTCCTCCTTCCTGTCCAAGAATGTCAAGCCAGCCCATTAGGGTTGTGACAATGGCAAATGTTGAGCACACACAATCGCACTGAGAATCTGCTGACCAATTATTGCCGACATTCCCTGGTTTCATCAGATCCATCACTTTGCACAGAAATCAAAAGGTGGAAAAAGGGCAGGAGTTCACCAGGAGAGAAGCAGCCTCTGCCTAAATTGGGATAAGGACCCTTTTCTTACAATTGCCCTGCTCTTGGGACCCTCCCACCCGAGGAGGAGAGCAAGGGCTTAGTTATTTGTGTCCAGATTTAGAGGCTTCTCTCAAAACCGAAGAGATGAGTGGAGCAAAAGAATAGAGATGATTAGAGATCAGAGGCTTAGCTGGGCACAGAAGCAAGCTAAGTGGAGTCATTAGAGATGAAGGGTCTATTTAAACATGCGCGGTGCACACATTTAACATCTTGTAAAACGTTTGAATGGTCGGTCTGTATACAAATGCATACTAAAAACAGGAAAGAAAAATATATACCAAAGTAAATGATCGCTTATTAAAAATACACATATACGTATCTTGCTAATCAGAAGCCACACCTTAACCCTGATACTTGGGCAATTATGTTGCCACAGTAAATAAACAGCAAGAGGTAATCCATTTGCAACAAATCAAGCCACACACAAATAATTTCAGACCCTGTTTCTGGTTTCCTGACATATTACTGTACACAATGCTGCCGTTGGGTCCTACATTCTTACATCCCTTTGAACGCTCACCAGACTATTAATTTAAAAAGTCGGGAGCTTCATCTGCTCCTCAAATCTTCATAACCTGTTTTTGTATGTTGGAAAAGACAAAAACACTAACCGGGACTTGGGTGGGAACCATTTTTGGAATAGTGGTTGGTGCTTGTTCACATCTGGATTAGGTTTAAAAATGATAACATTATGATGATGAACGCCAGAGAGCCTCATCTGCATATAAATAGGACTAATCAGAAATGCAAATTGCAATCAAGAGAAATTTTTAAAGGCTGTGATAGCTGTGTGATTGTGCAGATAAGGGAAGGTCAATGCTTGTATTGTTACATCAGTTAAGGCCCCCCAGCCTGCCCAGAGCCTGCCTTTGAATGGGGCATGTGCAAAGTACAAATTATCTATCAATCTGCCCCCTGACCCGGATGGAGCCCTGGATAACTTAGTTTTCCCTAACTAGAACCTTGAGCTGGCCATCCATCAGTCCCGTTCCAGTGAAAGACAACAAAACCTCTTGTCCAAACCTCCTAATGAATACACAGAAGAGAAAATATACTTGCATTTAAATACCCTCTAAACAGACCTCCTTTCAGCATGACTTCCCACTGAGTCAGAAATTAAGGGATGAATAATAAAACATATGACTGATAGAACATTTTTTCTGATGCATTTCATTGCTGACCTGAGTGGATACAGCAATATAATATGCATTTTTAGCCCCCCAAATTTCCAAAATACCTGAGAAAGCATAAAATTAAAAAGAAAACACCAGAGTTTCAACAGATTACTTAATCCTGAATTGCATTTGCATTCTTCTCAAGCAAAACACAAAAAAAACGAACATCTCAGAAACATCGGAGTGCTGGAAATAACACAATTGTTACAAGGTCCTGTCATTCCTTGGGTTATGTTATCTTTCAAAAACATTCTCTCTGTGTCCCCCTCCCCCGCTGGTTTCTTCTCTCCCAAAAGGAAATATATTTTGCAATCAGGCTTTCTCAGATTTGGAGAGAAATTGCGTAAAAACTCTTTATTATCCCTCTAATGATGCTTTCACAATGCACTAATGAGTCAAGAGCGCCATCTTGTGTCCTACCTCGGAATCTTAAAGAGAGTTTTCACAGGATGCATGTCAAAGAGGGGAGGGTCTCCATCCCCCAGTTCAATGGCTGTGATCCCTAAGGACCAGACGTCACAGCGAGCGTCATAGGAAGAGTCATACTGCTGCTCACAAGCAATGACCTATGAGACAAAATCAGGGAAAAATAGATCAACCCCTGCCACCTCCAATGTCCTAAAATGTCCCTTGGCTAGTTCAGCTCCCTTCTTGGTTCCCTTAGCTGCAGACATTAAATTCCAGTGAAAATAAGATGTATGTATTCTAAGGCTTATTTTTTGTGACTGATTTGTCGACTGATTTGTCAACTTATATGTTCGTCAACTTTTCAACTGTATCAGTTTAGTTCAAGAAACATGCATTGAACCATCCAAGTACTAAAAACCAGTGCAAGGGGAAGCAGTGCAATGGATTCCACACGATGGCCACGCTGTTATCCTTCAAGGGAAATATGTCCACCCTTTGCTTCCTTACCAGCTACTGAATTCAACAAGGAGCAGTTGTCCTCAAATATGCTTGACTACCGTACAACATCCCCAGCAGGGTAAACCACCCAGGGGAAGATACTGGGTGTCTGAAACGATTAATGTAAAGCAGAAACAAACCCGCTGTTCCTGTTCCCTTTATCTCGGAATATCTGCCCCTTCTTCAAACCCCAGCATCTGGTTTGCAACTGCCTCTTTAGTTATGGGTCTGACTGGGTACAGAAGTAGCAGACCCAGAAAATGATCCTGGGATCATCACTGGGTTGGGGAGCATGGACCTCCTGTAGAGGAATCTGTTTCTCCCAACTCTCTGAGTCAGAGAAAGTCCCTACACTCAGACAGGGTTAGGAGAAAGTAAGATCGACCAAAGGACATGGAGGGACTGGGTGCCTCCATTTGACCAGAAATCTGCTTTCCAGAATCCCCCTTTACTATAGTTTCCCACAACTGATGTGTGGTGATCTGGTAGATTAGGGTGGTGGGGCTTCCCTCTCAGCCCATTGAAATGTCTTTGACGTTTGCTCTGAATGCGATCGGACAGTTGACTATGGTGAACAGAGAAGTGGCAGATCTCGTAGATTTGACAGCGGGATTACCCTGGCTGCTGTGTGGAGGTGGATTGAAGTGGAACATGAGAGGAAGATGAGAACCAGTTAAAAATACTGCTGCGGGAATCCAGGTGTGACATGGTGACAAATTATCAGATTGGGGATGCAATTTTGAAGGTAGAGCCAACTGGATTGGTAGAATGGGGCATATAAGAAAGAGGAGTTGAGGATGACTCCAAGGCGTTTGACCTGAGCAACTTCCAGAATTGGCTTTTCCTGAGATGGGGAAGGGAAAAGGGGAAGCAGGTTTGGGGTGCGTTAAGCCTGAAATATCTGGGAGACGTCCAAATGGAGAAGTTGATGTTAAGATTCATACTGGACTTCTACTTTGGAGAACTGGAAGATAAGTCCTATGGTCTAAAGGTGTACCCCCAAATTCATGTTTTAGAAACAGTCCCCATGCAATAGAGTTGGGAGGCAGGGCCTTTGGAGTAATGTTTAGGTGACAAAGCTCCATTCATAAATGGATTAATACTGCAATACAGAGGGCTTGCAGCAATGGAAAGCTCTCTTCTATCTTCCTCCAGGTGTGGTAATAGTAAGAAGGCCCAGGCATATGCCAGAATCTTGACCTTGGATTTCCCTACTGTGGGAATACATTTCTCTGCTTTATAGGTTATCCAGTCTCAGGTATGCAGCATAAAATGGACTAAGACAAAAAGGGATGTGTGTTGTTTTAAGCCACTAAATTTTGGGTATTGTTATGGCAATGAGAGAAAACTAGTGCACCTTCTGTCTTCCACATCCAGTTCTTTGCACTTGCAAGGCCTGGGGAAACGTGTTGGCCATCTTGCCCTAGACTTTGTTCTCTTGCTCTCACAACTGCCCTCTACTTTCCTTCTTTTCTGGCTTCTCAACTGGAAAATGTTTTTCCATATACAGGCATTCTTGGCCTGGCCCCATCCCTCTGTTCAAATAGAATGCCCTATCATAGAATATCCTGTCATACTTTCAACACATAATTTTCAAGTGTGCATTCCAACTAAAGTTCAAGTAATTCCAATTTTGGAAACAGAGGCCATTTCATTGCCCCCAAAGACCTTACTTTTCTCACCCCAATCAGGTGACAACCTACACTATTTATAAAGAGCTCAAGATAAGGCTGTTCAACACCTTCCCTTTCAGAAATGACATTTTCAGAAGTGTGAGACAAACATCATTTTAGAGCTATCAATCAGCAGACAGTTCACTGTCCTCATTCATGACACTGTGTTGGGCCCTGTGAGAGAAAGAGAAATAGACTCTACCCCTCTCCTAACAGGTATTACATCCAGTTGGAATATACAGTGCACCTCTAATAATTAAATGACAGACCATGACAACCATAAATGTCCTCAGTGTGTACTAACATGTCCAATAAAGGATTCAGACTTCAAATGCTCATGAAATTAAAGGGAGACACTTCCAGATAAGCACCCCAATGAAAATGTCCAATATCCACAGTACGACTCCCAGGGAGAAGTTCAAATCCACATCTAGCCATGTTGGGCATTCCAAGAACACATCAAATGTGGGGCTGGAGACATCCTAACACTCTTTGAATGTTGTCATAAAATATTCAAAGCATTTATCTGGTTTCAACTTCCCTGTACAAATAAAACACCATCTTCAGCTCAGTCTGATTAACAGAAAAGCGCTTGTCAGTCAAATTCTTCTCCCAAAACTCAGCTCATCATGTATCCTTTAAGCTCAGCCTTCCAAGGAAGTTTACAGAAAATCACACTAATAGAATAATTCACAAATAACTCTTTTGTAACCATGCAGGCATGGTAGTAAGTCCTGAGGGGAGAAGTCTCACATGCAATTTAATCTCCATCATAATTTCACGAAGGAGATGCTATTATCTCCTTTAGTCACTGTGGAAACTGAGGCACAGCCATGTTGAGCAGCTTACCCAGAGTCATGCAGCTAGGAATCGTCATGCTGGGATAAGGAGCAAGTCATCTCTGTGCATTAAGTGGTATACCTAATAAGGGCTATTCCATTAAAATTATCAGCTTTGCTTTCATATTTTGACTAAGATTACGCCTTTTTTTTTTTTTTTGAGGGTTTTGTCACCTACATTCTGTCATCTCCTCAGAGGAGACTCCTCCGTCAGGACTGCTCCTTTCCAAGAGTAGACAAAGGGGCACGTGTGATGGGGTTTGAAGAAGCACTCTTAAGAGGATGCGTCTGACTGAAGGTCAGTACCTGGGACTGAAAGCCAGCACATCCTGAATTTGTATTCCCCGTCAATCTAACACCACGGAGTGCAATTATCTCTTTCAGAGAAGAGTATAATCTTTCATCTTAGCTCAGCATCCTCTTGGTCTCTAGGTAAAGGAAAGCTGAGTTAAGGATGCTGAGATCATCCAGTGGCATTTGATTCCACGGAGAAAGGAAAGCAGTGACGGCATGCGGATGCACTCCCCTGAGACCAGACTTTGCGGGTCCCTGAAGTCATACTAGGGGGATGGACAGAAATGGGTTGAGATAGTGTTGACACCAGGCCAGGACCCAAACACCTCATCCTTTCTCTCCCTCCACCCCCACGGCCCCTGACCTGGAGACTTTGCTGCCACCCCAGCAGTGTGACAAGGGGTGGCAGCCGTGGGATGAAAGAGAGAAAGGGCATGAGAGGGAGTTTGAGAGAAGACCAGCAGGACCTGGAGTGTGACTTAACAGGGGAGGTTAGGCGAGGACACATCAATCCTGGGTGACCAGGACAATGATGGTGCCATTTACAAAAAGGAAGTCAGGGGGAAAAAAGTCAGTTTGCCAGGCAGTTCAGATAAGGTCTGAACCTCCCCCTAAGCAGGTGTAAACCAACCACTTGTGTTCTCAGGACCTCTCCTGATCTGCAGAATGGCAACGTGGGAACAAAGGGTTCCCATCATCCCTTTGGGCTCTAACACTCCGTGACTTCACAATTTCCAAGTAAGAGATCTTGGGGAAGGTTCTCAAACCGAAAGGCTAACATCTCCATGCAAATGAGCTACAGCGAATGGTGGATGGACACTCGAGGGGATTTTAGTGCAATATTTTGCAGAAGGTCTTAAGGTCTATGAAAAGATGCCGGCTGCTGTGCTAATGCCTCCCTTAAAGACAAGCGTCAGGGACAGAGCAATTGTTTAGATGCTGCTTAATGGAGCATGTCCAAGCTCCTACCTTAAAATGCGAACTTATGGCTCTTCTGGTGCACTTAGACTTCCCTGTTGCTTATTTTAGGAAGAGGAAAGACCCTAAAGCCGAGATTACTAGCAATATCTATGCACTGGAAGCCTTCAAGCCCAATGCCAATAGCTATTTTACCCCAGAGGTGGGCTTAGGTTCCCCAAATGTTGGTCGTAACCACTTTGGCTTCCCCAAACTTTTCTTTCTGGTGAGGAGTGAGGACAAAAGAAACAAGTTTTCACTGATGACTGAGCTCAAACTGGTCTTTGGAGCAAGGGCTAGCTGTCCCTCTCCCCGGATGGTGGGAATCGTTCTTTCTAGCCTTCTAACAATCTCCATGCTGCAGACTCCTTAATGCACCCCCAGTGGCTCTGTACTGCCCACAGATGGGACCCCTCTTGTTCCTCCTGCAGGAACTTATGGTGGTGGGGGGAATGCACCAATGGATAAAAGCTGCTGAAACAAACCATCTTGTCTCCCTCAGCATGGTCAGCTGAGCTCTGTCCTGAGTCACCAGTTGTCAGCAGCCCTTGGGGCCTAGAGAGACTTGCTTCTCTGCCAGAGGAGGAAAATTCTGAAGCCACGCAACTCCCTTTTGATTTTGCTGCTTTCCTCACGGGGAGATTTTTGGCCAAATATTTCATCTCTCTGTCCTTCCTCTTCTCATGTCAACTGGGAGCTCCCTTCTCATGAGCCTCGTCTGAAGTATCCCCTATGAAAATACTAGTTATTCATCTTCTTTCTCTGGTACCAAAATGTCAGTAGTAGCTATCCAGGGGTCATTTGTGTCTGGATTATATTTATTTTATTTACTTCTTGAGGATCTTTGGGATTTTCCAAAATGTCTATAGGGAGTATGAACTATTTCAATGATAAAAA